ATGGCTCACCGCCTGCCTCTCCCTGAACAAGCGCAGGAGAGTCCAGAGGCCCACTAGTGCCACCAGGTAGAGCCACATGGCTTGCAGAGGACAAGAAGAGAGAGATACTTTAACTCAAAATGAGCCTGGCATCAGCTCACACAGGCACAGAGGGCTGCAGGCTTCTATCATGGAATCCACATGTCCCTCTATGACCACGATACTTCTGGAACATTTAATCCCAACCTCTGCTCTTTGAACGGACTTTGGTCTTCTGATATCTAGTGCCCTTTGCCTTTCCTTATCTTGCTGCCAAAGTAAATATCCCTGGCACATCTGTATTTATGACCTTTGCTTCCTGTACTCATGTGGGAATACATGCGTGTGTCATTACATGTCTCCCCTATGGTCCAGTCCCAGGCTCACCTGTGTCTCTGCATCTTGCACTCTGCTGCTGCAAATACTAAACGTTGTGAACATAGTTGCTCTTGCCAACCTGCACTTGGACTCAGAACATTACAAGGAGAAGACAGGGAAAGCTGGTGCCTTCCTGATACAGCAGCTTCCTGGGAAGGAGGAGAGTCCAGCCCCAAACAGGGAAGCTGATGCCAAAGGAGCACAAGGTTACAATGGAACTGGGACCCCAGACTCATAATAACTCCCAGAGTTGGTGTGGGGGAGGAAATGACTTTCACCTCCTCAAGACTATTCTTGTTAGTTTTTGTTGTTGTTTGCTTGTTTTTGTCAGCTGACAAAAGTGAGAATCAAATGGAAAAAACCCCAGTTGAGAAAATGTTTCCATTAGATTTCCCATAGGCAAGTCTGTAAGGCATTTTCTTGATTGTTAAATGATAGAGGTAGATTTAATCCCCTATGGGCAAGGTCACCCCTGGACAGGTGGTTCTGGGCAGTATAAAAAAGTGGGATGAGTTAGCTGAGAGGAGCAAACCAGTAAGCAACCTTCTCCATGCTCTTGCTTCACTTCCTGCCTCCAGATTCCTACCTTGAGGACTTGTCCTGACTTTCCTTCCTGATGACTGTCAACTATAATGTGAAATAAACCCCTCTCTCCCCACGCTGCTTTAAGTCATGGTATTTCATCACAGCAATAGTAGGCACATTTGAACAGATGCCCTTCTTTTGGCTGTATGGATTCAACTGGACATAACATAGCTATCTTGAGTTGTAACAACCATGAATGCCCCAGGCTAACCTGAGCCAGGATTCCTTGCCTAATTTCCCAGCAAGCCTTGCTCAGAACTTCTAAAGAAGCATGTAGAGTTTTGAATCTGGCTCATGTCTCTAGGGATGTGACTGACTCTGATTGCCATTCAACATAAACTAGGTACCTTCCAGGATACAGTCACATTCCTCCTTAGTCATGACTCTCACCACTTTCTAACCCAACTTGCATGAATCAAAGTAGTCTTGTTGTTCTGGAGGATCAGATTTCTGTCAGAAAGTGCCCCAATACAGTATATCCTCCTATATATCCTGTATAGACACTACAGGTGTCTGCTTTCTTTATTAGGTCTTACAGCATCTCATGTCTGCTCCTTATTTGTGAGGACTTGCTGTTCTAGGAAGCAGGGTGTGGGAGGCCCATCATTAAGCCTCCATTTCTGGGACTTTCACTGTACAGTCATGTACACAGAATCAAGAGCCCTCTCTCACTAAGGCTCTAAAAACAGTGAAATCTCACGGGAACAAGGACCTCAAAGTGAACAGGTTTCCCTGAAATTTAGCTACACATAGAGGTCCCAAGAAGTACAGACGAAATGTGTGTTGCATGTGTGCTGAGGAGTTTCCACACAAGACTCCTAATGCAGTGCTAGTCTCCCCACAGGGCTATCCACTGAAGACTCCACAGTGAAATGGAGGATGCCCTATCTCAGGTTCCCTCAGCTCATCCATCCCTCCTGAGATTCCTACACAAACCCGTTGGCAGTGCCCAACTGCTCCTCTTCCCTAGGTGGGATGGGCCTGGTCACATTCAGGGCTGTGAGTGGGAGTGTCTTGCAGTCCAGCTATTCTGATCTCGGGGCTGTACCGCTGAGGCAGAATCTGAACAGAGACATCTACTGGGATCAAGGATCCATATGTAATATTAGTGTTTTATGCATTGACCAAATGTGAGATGACCACAAGGCATGGCACCACTTCTTAATACCAGCAATGAAGACACTGGGGCTACAGATTAAAAGGTCACAGTAAACCTGTGCTATGTGACATCTTCTCAAAAAAAAAAACAAAGAAAAACTAAAGTATAAATACACGTCTTTGAGAAATGGGTCAGCAGTTAAGAGCACTTGCTGTTCTTCTAAAGAACCCAAATTCATTTCCTAACACCCACACTGTGCTCAGCTCATTCTCCACTCACACCGCCAACAGCTCAACTCCAGCCAGGAGCCCTGATCCCCTCTCCTCACCACTGTGGTACTCGAACACACGTGGCATGCAGATACGCACACATACACACAAATAACTTTTTTAAAAAACCTTTCAAAATAGCATAAGTGACATGAAGGAACACTTTCTGTTTTCACTCAAAACAAAAATCATTGTTTAATTACAAGTTTCTCCTCTGGCTCCTTGGCCTCCATATTTATACTGAGGGAAGAAAACTCAGGAATCCATGGATGCCCCTCCCAAGGGCAAGTTTCTACTGATCCCAGGAACCTCTGCCTCTTTCCACACATGCTTTTTCTTCTCAGCTCACTCTTGAGAGAGCCACACCCTATCACCAGGCAGTGCCAGGTCTCGGGAAGCCATGGCAAGATGAAGACCCTTGCTCTTTTGCAACAACAATGTTGTCCAGAAAATGAAAGACCAGGGTTGAAAAATGACTCTGCGTACATGCTGCTGGAGGCGTGGAGTGGTGAGACAGAAGAAGAGGGACAGGAGGTGAAGCATGGGACAGAATCACAAGAGCTTTGAAGGGACTGTCAGTCAGTGAGTCTGCAGTGAAGGGAGCAGTGATGCTGAGGCCTACAGGTCACTTCTGTGCATCAACTTGCATGCCCACTCTCTGCCTTTTTGTGTTGTTGTTAAGTTTTGAATGGAAAGCGATTGGCACACCTCAGTGGCTAGCAGGGCTGAGACAGGGCAAGGATAAGCCTGCTGACCTGTCCTAACCCCTCTCATGTCATCCTTCTGTCCCCCAGTGATCCAAACTGAAGTGGCCATCAAAGCCATAGTTAAAATCGCAGGGCACAGATGATCTCATGGTTTACTCTAGAAACACGAAGAAGCCATGATCGGGACAATTGGAAAGTGGCTTCTCCATCGTCCTCTGGATTCTTACCACCAGGGCCAGGACCTCCCAGCCAGGGCCTGCTGACCTGGCCTCAGGAAGCATGAGTGCTTGCCTTTATTGGTGATGCTTCCAACCCACACCACAGTCACAGGTGACTTGAGAGAAGGGACACTTCCATGCTGCATGGGAGTGTCACCTCTCCAGGACATGTGCATGTGCTGCAGTAGGACACAGGGCACGGCTTGGCCCAACCTGGTCCCAGCCTCCTCAACTGCGTGGATCAGCATGATAGACCATGATGCCCAGAGCCTTGGGCAAGTGCCTGACTCATCAGGTTACCTTCCAGCATGTTTGTGTCCCAGTATAACCAGGAAGAACTCTTTGGCTCTTTCCTTTGGTCATCACAGGTATTCCACATCACAGGACAATTAGTGGATTGAGAAAAGTGGATTATGAATCCTAGTGACATGAACTCCCTTGTTGCAGGATATTTGATTCCATTATGAACCCCAAAATTGTGAACTATAAAACCCTGTTTCTTGTTTGGTTTTGTTGGGCCCTAACACACAAGTTTAATCCAAGAACTTTCTGTTTATTGTAAACAGGTGATTATGATGTGGTCCAGCCATCCCTAGCTCTTATTCCAAGGGCTTTCCGTACACAGGATTTAATAAAGTTAACCCTAGGTCAAGAGGCAGAGCAAGAAAACAGCTGCCCAGGATTAAGGAATAGGAGGGATTTTGAGTTGAAGGTACTCTTAAGACAGCATGTTGAAGTAGAAGGGGCTTTAGGTCTTTGCTTTTAGCTTACACTTTAGCTCTCTGGCTTTTGGGGCATTTTGGGCTTTCAGCTAGCAAGACTTTGGCCTTGGGACTTTTGACCTTTTCCTCCTGGGCTGTCAGCTAAGCTAGTGAGCATTTTGTGCTTTTTCCATCTGGACGTGATCTTGGTGGGAAGGTAAGCTGGTTGTTTCTCTTTCTCTCTAAACTAGCAAGTTTTCACCCCAGTATCTGCCTCCTGAGTCTTTATTGGTAAAATAAAATGAACAGGAATTTCATTTTTTTTCTCTAACTTTTTAGGATACCCTCTCTCACACTGTACCTATATCTCCCAATTTGTGCACATAGGTATAGGCATTACAGAGCTTTGGCAGGCTTCAAGGAGGTCCAGTAGATGATGGCATCCACGAGAGAGGTGGGCAGGTAGCTCATGGGGAGGTAGAGGAACTTGGCATCCCAGCCGGCTGAGTATCGGGTGCAAGGGTGACGGGCAGTCAGCGCATGCTCCATGCAGTCCGTCACCGCAGACAGGTCCTCCTTGCAATGGTGTTGCAGTGACTCTAGCTGTTTCAGATCTAGGAGGCATGAGAGATGCTTCAGCCTGTCTCTCACCTCCCATCACTCCTGCTATGACACCAACACAAAGAAAACCTTCTCTAGAATCCATGTCCCCCACATGAGAAGTCACGCCCCAGCCTCGCCTGCCCAAGTTCCTCAGAAGGACCACAACCATACTTCAAGAAAGAGCTGTGCACACTCAGCCCCCTGTATCTCAGATCAGGGAAAGTGCTGATCTAATATAGCCTTCCATTCATGACTTCCCTTACAGCTTCATGAGAATGAGAGGTCCAGACAGAACAGAGCAGTGTGTTCTGAAAACCTGGAACTCCTTTTCTGACCACACCGCCCACGCTGCCTCCAAGGAAATACATCTAATGCCCTTTCCTTGCAGAAAGAGCCTGGCGTTAGTGTTGGTAACGTGAAGAGAGGAAGGATCCAGAAGCAGATCCTCACAGCTCACTTACAGGATGCCAGGAAATTCTCGCCATAAATCTCTCTGACTTCGGAGCTGGCCTGGTCCCAAGTCATCTTGGCATTTGCCAACAGCCTGTCACTATTGGTCAAACCAGTCAGGAAGTATCCAGGCTCTATAATTGCCACCTTCACCCCAAAGTGGGAGAGTTCCCTCCTGCAAGACAGACAGATGTCAAGGATGTCTCAGGTCTTTCCATGAGAAAACAGGCAGTAAGTTTACAATAACTTGCCAAAATGAGCCTGTGGTGAAGAAGGGTCCCAAGCTTTGGATATGGGGTGCGCAGCTCAAGACGATGAAACGGGGAGTGACTCTGTGCTTTGAACCCCGCACTCAGGACTTGTTATGTGTAGTTCACTGGCCTAAAGCTAGACATTTTGTCCTATGGCACCAAGTAAGGCCATTCTCCATGTACTGCAGATACAAAGGCTCCTCATCCTTGTACCTCATTCCTAAGTCTCCATCTACCCACATCCATTCCAGGAAGCTCTCAGGACATCTCCCACTTTGTTCTTGCAGGTGTCTTCAGAGAGCAACCTCCTGTATGCAACACCCTCCATTCACAGCCTCCCTGCTCCCTGCAGCCCGGGATTCCCTCTGCCACCGGTGACCACCCTCCTCCCATGTCTGTCCTGTCCTTTCACCAAGGAGAATCCACCTGCTCATGCGGCTTCCAGGTTCCAGCTTCCCACGTTCCCTTGTTTACTCTGATGCAGTCTAATCCTGCTCAGGACCCTGACAGATCTGATGCCTGCTAGAGCCCACACCGCTGACTGGGCCATGGCCACTCCAAGGGAAGTCACAGTTGCTCTCTGTCTCCTCTCCCACTCTCCCCATTGCCATTGTCTTTCTGTCAGGTTCCAAACATTTGGTCATGCTGGAGTGTGTTGGCCGTGATACCAACAGGGATCCAATACCTGTTTGTGGAACTGAAGGAGATGCTCTCCCCAATCCAAAAGCATATAGGATATGTTGTTATGCTTTTATATCTTAGGTATAGAGATCAAGAGTCTGCAGATTTGGCCCAGTTCTGTCTCAGGAACATTGCCCTCCCTCCTCCATGGCAGGACAAGATGAACAGAACTCAGGTCTTGGTTCTGTCTTCAAGAGAGCAGTAGAAATGTGCTTCCCAGTGAATGATTCACTGGGGAAAGGTGAGAGAACCGCAAACCAGAGTGTCCTCTTCATGAAAGGGTCTTAAAGAACATGATGAAATAAACACCCTGACATAACAGACCCACATCCCTGTCGAATACCTGAGGGAGTCCGAGAAGGCCTCTACACCATACTTGGAAATGCAGTAGCCACCACCAAAGAGAGACACTCGGCCCATGACACTGGCGACGTTGACCACGCGGCCCCTTGCCTTCCTCACCAAGGGCAGCATGTTCAGAGTCACGTCGATCACGCCCAACAGGTTCACGTCCAGAACCTTTACAAAGTCCTGTTTGTTCAGCCACTCATTGGGACCCGAGGGAATGGAGATGCCAGCATTGTTGACCAGGCCCCAGAGTCCTGGAGACAGTGGGAAGAAGAGAGAGTCACACAACACAGGTTTAATTGTGGATGAAATGCATATTCCACAGGGAAGACCACTTCCTGTTGACTAGAGAGGAGGATGTGATGAATAACAGCATGTTATCAGCGGGACTGGGGACCACCCCAGAAGCTGCTGAGTCACAGCTGGGTACCTCTCTCCTCTGAGTGGGCATGGCCGAGCTCCTGCCTGGGAAGTAACAACCAGTCTCTTCTCACTTGCCAAGTTTAAGAAAGGATGTTAAGACACGGTACACCTCTGCTAACCTGGGGACCATGAAACTATGTTTGTGATTTACAGACTGATCCCATTCCTGCAGATATTTTATTCTTTCAGTTGTATTTTCAGATTCTCTGAGCACTGTACATACCCTTGCCTTTGCCTTTCAAATGGCAAAGAAAGAAGAAAGGCTCTAGGTGATACCTCAGCATGTATAGGACTTGCCTCCCAAACCTGAAGACCTGAAGTTGACCCCACAACCCACATAAGAAGCCTAAAATGGTGGCATGCTTGTAATCCCAGAACTGGGGCATTCTAGACAGTAGCTTTCTTGCCCAGTAGCCTAGATAAATCTATGAACCCCAGGAAGGGGTTCTCTTCTAAAAACCAAGCAAACAAAAGCAAATAAATTAGACAGCAGCCCCCCGCCCCCAGCTGTCTTCTAGCCTGTACTCCTTGACATACAATACTGAGCAACTTTCCTGAGGTGCTTACAAAATCAAGGCCAACCAGAGGGAGCAGGCAAGGCTACAGTACAGCTCCAGCCTCTGCCCCAAAACAGAGAGCCCTCACCCAGATTCCTGCTCACCCACAGAATACTGTCCTGTGCCTCTTTAGTCACTAAGCTACAGCTCTTCAGGCAACCAGCCTGTAAGTGTATATACCTCAACAGCACGAGGTCAACTGAGGGCTAGTTTAGTTAATGGTGTTTGTGGATTTTGAAGAACTGGCCCAAAAGCTATGTGCTCCTTCAGTACAAAACCATACCTCGCCTTTCTAGAGATGTGAACTGTTTAACCACGATATTTTATTCTTAGCATCCCAACACATGCTTATTAGAACTGATTACAAGAGCAGTGGTTCTACTGAGAAGCGTAGGAAACAAGATGGGAGTTGAAGCACGTACTTGCAATCCCCATACAAAGGAGGCTGAGTCAGGGAGATAATGAGTTCAAGAACAGCTCAGTAGCAAGATACTGTCTCAAGTCAGGCAGCAGTGGAACACACCTTTAATCACAGCAGGTAGACCTCGGAGATGGAGGCCAGCCTGATCTACAGAGTGAGTCCAGAACAGCCAAGACTACACTGAGAAACCCGTCTTGAAAAACAAAACAAAATGAAACAAAAATATCCTGTCTCAAAAAAAAACCGAAGCTAAAACAAACACAAATGTACCAAACTATTGCAGCTCCTAACTCCAAGGTGTTATTAAATTAGTGGGCCTTTGTTAAGGTTAGGTTTTCTAGTTTATTAAATATTATCATTCAAATAAATGTTACTGAAAATTCCTCACCTTTTTTTAAGTGAAAAGAATACACTCATCTTCATGCATACAGATCAAAATATTACTAGTTTTTATCTACTGGGTGATAAATTGTAGGTTAATTCTTGTGGTTTTACCTGTACTAGTGTTTTGAACAATAACCATATTTTTTAATTTATTCTTAGATTTCTTTTAAACCAATGTTCTTCTTTTGTTCCATAATGATTTACTCTACCAGCTTAATGAAAGAAGAGCAACCCCCTTCTAGGACTTAGTTTTCCCAAGTCAGTCCTGAATCTGGCCATGGCCTGCTCTGTACTCAGGTACAATCATGTCTCCCTTCATAGAGGATTTCAGGTCACAAGTAAGAGCAAGTACGGTGCTGACACAGGAGATCTCCTCCAGCATGGCTCCAGATAACCCTGTACATACAGCCCAGAGCCAAGCCTATCCTCTGTTCCCTAACCCCAACACCAAACCTAACCCCAACCCCAATGCTAACTGTAACCCTAACGCTAACCCTCACTCAGCATCCAGCAGTCT